TTCGACACTTACGTTATTTGTTTAAGGTGACCACTAGCCTGTAACGATCGTCTTAACGATATAGACGTAAGTATCTATTATTAATATTTGTAAACAGTGTCCCTACACTGTATTTTACAAAATTGTTATGTTTTTTGTTTTTGTTCTCTTTGTTAATAAAGTGAGCCTGATGAGGTGTGTAGCCACCCAATTGATTTTCAACCGGACGACTCGTTTGGATCAGTTTTAGGTTTTACAAAATGCATACTTACATTAAATAAAACTCATGAGTCATATAAAGCTGTATCAATTCTTAAGGTAAATGAACTTCGAGTTGAGTGTAACATTACTACTGGAGCATATACTAATGAACATAAAATTCACAGAATTCATGAATTTTTTCCTGCACTTCCTCCTGGGTATTAAATTATTGAAGTTCCAACACAAATAATTCACCTACCCGTTGCAGTCGAGATAATAGATCATCTTCAAGTTTGTATCGTTGATCAGGAATGAAAATTAATTAATTTCCGAGGAGACGTTATAACAATAAGGCTACACGTGAAACAATTAAATTGAATGAATGGGCATTTTATACGTCGTCAAGGAAATGAAAAAAAAATTTCATAGAGGATATATAAGTAAACCAACATGGGAAAGACAAATCAGTTATTAAAGAGCAACCAAAGCATTAACACGTCAAAACGTACAGTTTTTAAAAAGCCAAGGCTTAAAAGTGATCGTTGGATAAAGTTTATTTGCTCATTTTCCTACTGTTTTAAAGATGGGAGAAATTCTAAGTATTTAGTCAGGTGTCACATTTGACGAATCCATTGCACACTATGAAATTCATGCACATCAGCCTGATATTCCATCAGCATTCAACAAAAGTGACGAGATTAGAATCTCAATTTAACATCAAGATTTATGTCTCTTACCCTCACAAGGCACTCTACATATTGGCAGACGTATTACATTAAACAATAATACTGCAGTAACGCGAACTGAGGGAGTTAATAATGCTATTAATCATTTGTTTGAAGAAATTAGCTACGAACTTAATGCCATTGAAAAAGACAAGTGCAAAAATGTTGGTATAATTAATCCTCACGAGCTCGAGAAGTCACTTAATTGCAGTCGTACAAACAGTTGCTAATGATGTTTACGAAGACTTTAAAATTACATTATCTTGGATAGAAAGGTTCATGCCTCACATAAGTGCATCAGACAGACTCAAAATTCGTCTGCTTAATGTTATTGCAAAAGATAAGCCAATTTCCATGAGTTTTCGCAATTGGAAACTGTATGAATATCCCCTTCTTGCAACAACTATGAAACATGTTTGGACCGTAAAAACATCTCAGTCCTACCTCTATGGCAATTTTAATCCTAATAATAATTATNGAAAAACTTTGTCAATTTAAATTACAAAGCAGTAAAAAAAGTTATCCGCTTCGGGCAGGAGTTGAACCAGAGCCTCCTTCTTGTTGAAAAGGTACGTTAACCAACTTTGCCACTGATGCCTCGGCAGACACCCTTCTTCACTGCTCTTGTTAGGCGTGTCTTAAGTTGAACGCCGATATCATAGATATTAATGTTATTAATCGATGGGTAAGTATTATGTCAAGTAAAGAAACAGAACCTATGATTAATAAAAACGATTTTATTGCATACATGACACTCATCGTTATTGACTGTTAAAAAAAAAATGAAGCTTTAAAATGCACCATTTGTTGTACGTTCAAAATTCGAGTCAAGAGATAATTGTCGGCAAGGAACAGTTGCTTATTGTTGAATTCTACATGATTGCATAGTCGAGTATAATCCCGTGAATGGTAATGTAAGAAAACTTATCTAAACTTGCTCATAAAAAATAAAACAGCATTAGTCGTTTGTGTCGGTCTATTCTATGCTATGATGGAGTATGTAGTGGATATGCAAGGCTTTAAAGAGCCCGGCACTAATTATGTGATAAAAGAATTAGCAGTTATTTCGTTAAATAAAAGCTTTAAACCACATGTATTTATTTTGAAGCCACCGTTTTCTTGGCGTAAGTTAAGTCAACAATATAAACATAAAAATGTATGGCTTTAGCCTTACTATCATAAATGAGATTGGAAATCTGGTAATACTAACTATACAGAAGTTGAGAATGTACTACGAGAAAATCACAAAGATGCTGAGAAGATTTTTGTGATTGGAGAATTGAAAAATAGGTGGCTCGAAAAGTTTAATTTTTAAGTTAATGACATAGTGGATTATCCAAAGTTTAAACTCCTAACATTATCAACTACATGTCCTCACCATAACGGTGCGTATAAATCTATCTGTGCCACCCATAATATCAAACAAATAAGAGAATTCTATTTTTTCATGAAGTAAAAAGATGTTGCTGACTCTTAAAATGATGTGTTATAGAAACTTAATAAAACTGTATTTTGTTTTAAAACTAGTATTACAAATAAATGTATCGAGTTTATATCAATGTTTAATTAATTTAATCTTTTTCTAAAAACTAGCGCAAGATTATAATATTAGGAACCAATGATTATTTTTATAAAACATATACATACAGTAGCACAGAGTAGGATGTATATAAACGAATTTCAGCGCACAGTGCTGCTTAGGTTATCATGCAGCTTCAAACGTGACGGATACGCGCTTATGTTATAGTTATTACAACGTTTTTATACTACAAAATAAAAAATGGATCTATACACAGATTATGTTATAGAGATTAAAGATTTTCTCGATGCTTCTTGACAATTTTTACCCAAAGTAGTGGCTGTTGTGTCTCTTATGACACCAGTGATCAGTCATTGGATCGTGAGGTCCCCGTGTAATTTTTCTACTTCAACTATGGATGTACTTCAAAACAACAATCGTCAGTTGAAGAGAGTGCATGGATTTCGTTGGTTCGTGGGTGATTGTTCAATTAGAAAATTATAGCAGCATCTGTACGCTGTATCAAAAAATGCTAACCAAATTTTCGTTGACAAAGATAATACAGCTGCGTATTTAGAATCTACCATAAAGTGTGCTGTTATTAACATTCAGCAATATACGATGCCATCACGCCACATTCTTAGTATGGGATATTCAACAAAGGCTTTAATGTCTGGTACTCATGAGGCACTTAAAAGTTAACGTAGACAGAAATTTTGCGCACTTAGTGAAGCTCATCAAATGAAATTATTTCTGTGCTCTTTGGCGAAAAGCAGCATTGAACCGGACACGGGATGTTTTACATACGTACTTAACAGTTACAAGAAAAAATCTCTAAAAAGCCTCCCAGTTAAGATATCATTGATGGACCTAATGCTGCTAATAATGCTGCTAATAATAACTAATAGTGACTCTAAATCTAATAATAATGTAGATTTCAAAAACGATGACTGTGTGTAGGCACAGAAGAAAAAAAGTATAAAATTTGAGATAAAAAAAATTAAAGTACATCTTTCAGCTTAGTATAAAAAAGGTAGTACCTTCTTGAAAGCTAATGAAAATTCGCGTATAGCTTCAGTTATCCTGTAACAATTGAGCAGTCAACATAAAAAACATGGGTCCGTAATTTAGCAAACCAAAATACGAGAGCCTCAATAAGAAAGAGGAGGAGAATCAAAATAGCAGAAAACCTTTTACAGAAAAGCTTTTTGAAGCATCTGAACCAAAAGTCAAGGAAAATTATTATTCCAAAAATATTCACTCTCATCCAAAGAAAGATAAATATGATTTACTAAAAAAAAAATCAATAATTGGTCCTTCCTAGGACTATGGTAAATTTTTGTATTTTTTTAAGCTACAGATGTAGCTATCAATTTGGAATTTTTTATTATTATTGAAACCCACTCCTATATTATTCTTTTAAATATTAACCTCACAATCCCAAACCTAAAATTTATTACAGATATTGAGGTTATTGATTGATGGGTAAGTATTATGTCAAATTATTATGTTTTGACCTCTTTCATCTAAATTGTGCTATCTATTTTTTTGTAACTTCATAGAAATGTCACGCTAATTTTTATAGTGAAAATCGCTGAAGTGCGAATAACTTTGTCAATTAAAATTACAAAGCACTGAAAAAAGTTATCTACTTCGGTCAAAAGTCGAACTTGGGCCCTCTTCTTGCTGGAAAATCGCGTTAACCAACTTCGCCACCGAAGCTGCGGTGGACACACTTCTCCACCGCTTTGTTTATGTGTGTCTTAGATTGAACGCAGATATCATAGGTATTAATGATATTGATCGATGGGTTAGTATAATGTCAAATTATTATGTATTAACCTCTTCCATCTCAGTTGTGCAATCTATATTTTTTTAACTTTATAGAAATGTAGTGCTCTATGTTATGGTGAAAATCGCTGAAATGCGAAAACCTTTGTCAATTAAAATGACAAAGTAGTAAAAAAAGTTATGTGCTTTGGCCAGGAGTTACCCTGGGCCTCCATTTTGCCAGGAAGGCTCGTTAACCAACTTCGCCACCGAAACCTCAGCGAGTATCATAGATAATAATATCGTTGATCGATTGGTAAATATTATATCAAATTATTATGTATTGACCTTTTTCATCTTCACTGGACTATCTTTATTTTTTTTAATTTTAAGACAAGTCACGCTTATTTTTATAGTGAAACTCGCTGGAGTACGAAAAACTTTAACAATTAAAATTACTAAGATATAAAAAAAGTTATCTGCTTGTGCCAGAAGCCAAACCTGAGCCTCCTTCTTACTGGGAAGGGGCATTAACCAACGTCGCCACTGATGCCTCAGCGAACACTCTTCTACACTGCTGTGTTAAAGCGTGTCTTAATTCGAACGCCGATATCATAGATATTAATGTTATTGATCGATGGGTGAGTATTATGTCAAATTATTATGTATTGACCTCTTCCATCTAAATTGCGCTATTTATTTATATATATTTTTTTTATACACGTCACGGATATTTTCATAGTAAAAATTGCTAGAGTGTAAAAAACTTTGTCAATTACAATTACAAAGCAGTAAAAAAAGTTCTCCGCTTCGGCCAGGAGTCGAACCTGGGCCTCCTTCTTTGCTGGGAAGGCGCCATAACCAACTTCACCACCGAAGCCTCGGCAGACACCCTTCTTCACTGCTCTGTTTAGGCGTGTCTTAAGTCAAACGCCAATATCATATATATTGATGTTATTGGTCGATGGGTAAGTATTATGTCAAGTATTGGTTAAGGCGCCATCTGCACAAGAAGGAGGCCCAGATTCGACTCCTGGTCGAAGCGGATAACTTTTCTCACTACTTTATAATTTTATAACTTGTGTACCACCGGCTAGAGATGTAAGCAATACTTCTTTAAACCAGACCACTTCTCAAATAGCATTGGCTTGTTTTGCGTAGTGAACCGTATTTGCGAATAGTTTGGTAGTCTTACAGCTGTTAACATACGTAACATATACTATGAATAAAAAAAAGTATGAGTTCGAATGCGTCTTGGAAAGAGATTTTCAGTGGATAATATGCTTCCACCTCCCCCTTCCTTCTAGGGTAAGCTGTAGCATAGAGCGTCTAGGGGGGAGCTGTAGTGCGAGGGTATGGGGCTCCCCCCTCCGAGTGGGCGGTTGTCGCAGGAGGGAGTCACGTGCGGGTCACAGGTCGCGGGTTGGCCGTGTTGCTGCACGAGCTTATCTGCACTCCCCCCTTTTCTAGAGTTGGCTTGTTCCCCAGACTAGATTTGGGATAAGACCACTTACTTACACGCATTAAAATGTACACATAAGTACGCCTATGTATGATTGCTCACGCTTAGTCGAATGATCATGCACGTAGATATCAATGAAATAGATAGAGTAAGCGTTTAGTTAAATAAGGCACTTTAATGCACAGCCCTATAAAGTTTATAGTAAAGTACCTGGTACCACAAGCTAGGGAAGTAAGCGATACTTCTCTAAATCAGACCACTTCTCAAATAGCATTGGCTTGTTTTGCGTAGTGAACCGTATTTACGAGTAGTTTGGTAGTCTTACAGCTGAAAACATATCTAACATATGCTATGTATGAAAAAAAGTATGAGTTTGAATGCGTCTTTTAAAGAGATTTTCAGTGGATGAGATGCTTTCACTTGAGGACATAGTGGAGCCTCAAACTCCAGAAAACGATCTTGAACCCACCACTGAAAGTGTGGATGTTTCATTAGTAAACAAAAATTTATTACAAGTTCTATATTTTCGACGATGCCTAATGTTTTCCTTTGATAACATTGAATTGAATGCAGTGCTTTAACTGTTAGTGTAGCCGAAGTATCATACACGTTATTTCACCCACACTACTAAAATTAGTAAGTAGAAGTGAGTGTACCCAACTATGTTTACTGGTATCTATACCAATGGTATAGTTATAATAGTCTCCATTCTGTAGAAGTTTTGGTGTACATGTTGGTGTATTCCGGAGAAGACAGATATGCACCTTTGACGGCAATGAATCTTCAAAAGTTGTAGCGTGCAATGAGGGAGGATTTCATTCATTGAAAGCGTGACGTTATTGATAATAGTAGGTAAAATTTTACGTAGTATCTCTTTCCACCAAAACGCACCATATATCCACGTAATTACGTGGATATAGTTGATACGCATGTGGATTGGGCAACTCTACTGTCTGGTACTTATAGGATACAAGATTTTTTTTTTCTAAGCAAGCGAAGCAAGTAAGGCACATGCATGTACGTGGATGTAAGGTACAAATACAAACAGCAAAAATTTTAAATGACAAATCCTACACAACTTTGATTTTCTACAACTTTTATTCTATACAGCTTTTATTTTATTTAATTCTTTTTCTACAGAATTCAACAATGAATTGCATTAGCAGCACACAAATAATTTTTTTTTAAAGTGATAGAAACTCACGACAAAAATAAATCAAGAAAAGACTTTACCAAATAATAAATACTAATAATGATCATAACTTTTTACTAAATGACAATCTAAGTGCTAAAATAAAAATTTCTATCC